CATAGCCTTTACCTCCCTGCCCACCTAATTATAGCTGTAAGGATGTCAATCACTGTACTCTCCCTCAACGCCAAAGGGCTGAACACGCCCCATAAACGACGACTGGCACTTTTAGAAGCCAAAAAATGTAAGGCACAGGTAGCCTTTTTTCAAGAAACCCATTTTAAATGGGGCTCACGGTCCAAATTTAACTCCCCCTGGTTTCCGATAGATCATCATTCCTGCTGCTCCACAAAAAAACAAGGAGTCTCTATTTTAATAAGTAGGAACGTCACTTTCGAGCTGGTCCGCAAGATTAGTGATAAGAAAGGTAGATATCTCATCATTCAGTGCCACCTTAACAACAACCCCTTCACATTAATGAATATATATGGACCTAATGATAACCAAGAAATGTTTTTGCACCGAATATTTGCCTTGTTGAATATGTACAGCTTCAGGGAGGTAATACTTGGAGGCGATACTAACTTTCTCCTGGATAGCATTAAAGATTCCTCTGCCTCACATACCATAACACCCAACACCTCTAAGAGACGGTTCGCACAATCGCATAACATACGCGATATCCTAGCAACACATGATTACGTAGACCCTTGGAGAATTACACACCCCAATGAAACCGATTACACATGCCATACGGCGGTACACAATAGTTACTCCAGAATAGATAGGTTCCTGGTTAGAACCACTTCCCTCCTCAGGATACTAGACACTACCATCGGAGACCTCACATGGTCCGACCACGCACCGATCACGTTAACGCTCAAGGACCGGTTCCCTCAGACTGGCCAGAGAACTTGGAGATTAAACAACACCTTGTTAACGAACGCACACATAGTCCTGGAAGTCACACAGGACCTACAAAACTACTTTGCGGACAATGATAAGCAGGACACTGACCGGGACTATGTCTGGCTAGCACACAAGGCGGTCATTAGGGGCAGCTTCATAAAGCACGCAAGCCATGCCTACAAGACGCAAAAAGCACAATACTTAGCCCTTATCAATGAGATCAAACACGTTACACACAGCAACAAACATGCACCCACCCCTGAGACACAACGGAAGCTTTTGAGCTTACAAACACAATTACGAGATATAGAGTTAACTAAAACCACCTACCTCCTACGAAAATCAAAACACAAATTCTTCGCGGCAGGGAACAGAGCCGGCGCTAAACTAGCAGCGCAATTGAAACAAAAAACGATCGCCTCCAGGATTGCCTACCTCACAGATGGTAAAGGTCACAAAACTATTGACCCACGTGAAATTGTTAATATGTTTGCAGATTACTATTGTCAGCTGTACAATCTATGACGAGGGTACTACTAAGGTCCCGACCGTAGCGGACATAGACGGATTCCTACAGGGCCTCTGCTTGCCCTCCCTGACACCGACCGCAATACAATCACTACGACAGCCTATTTCCTTAGAGGAGA